TCTTCTTTTCTAACAAACCAGGCAGCCTCACACAGCAGCCTTCTGTTCTTAAAGTTACTGTCAGAAGAACAGTAATTACCTAAGCCCACCTAAGCTTCAATTGTAAGCTACAGCATTGAATTTAGGTGAATCGAATTAATTTAAGATCTGTGATGGAGCAAATATATACGCAGAAAGAAAATCAAGGAGAAAAATCTCAATAGTATGGGAATATTCATGGAATGAAATTGTAACTTAGTTTTGCTTCACAATTTCAGTATTTCAAGCTATGTCAGTAGCTTGTTTTACATTTCTCAAAATAAACCGTATAATGGTTAAATGTCAGAATCCATCATTTGTGAAGAAGTGGTCAAATTTAAACTGAATCATTAAACTACTTGCTTTATTTAGTAATTTTGAACTCAAAGCAGAAACTTTAAAATTATGCCAATTGCCATATTGTCACAACTCCTGCCTTTTCCACCAATACCTTTCTCCCAAGAATATCTCCTTTGTCATATTTTATTCTCTCTTTCTCCTGGCAATGAAACTTTTGAAACAGTTAATGGCTTAGAATCACTTAATTGCCAAAGAGGGATCTTGCCAAATACATTTTGAAAAAGCTGAATAGAGAGAAGGCTAATTAAATTATTTTTATAATGACTCCAAGAATTCCTGCCTTTTTTAATGAGCTCCCTTACATGGTCCTACAGATGTTCTAATCCTAATTCTAATCTTTGGATTAATGCTGTTTCTGTGTATTTTTCACACTCAGAATTGATGTAGATCTTCCAAGACTGGTGAATTGGAGAATGGAGGTTGTGGTCGCTGCATAATCACTCCCTTCTGCCTCTCCTTACTCCTCACAGTTTTCCCCAGCCCCAGCATGGGTCCTTCCCACAGGCCCCAGTCCTTGGGGATAAACCTTCAGGATAAATTAGCAAAAATCTTCAGGAAAAGGTTCCTTCAGGCCACATTTGCTTCAGGTCACATCTCTCTGCTCCACCACAATGGTTGCAGTGGGGTTTTCTGTTCCATGGGCTGCTTCAGCATCTGCAGCACCTCCTCTTCCTCCTCCTCTTACCTTGGTGCTCACAGGGCTCTTTCTCACACTCTTTTTTGTCCCTTTTCTCCCTGTTCAGCATTTTTTCCCCTTTCTTAAAATATTTCTTAACAATGTTTTCCCAGCAGTTCCACCTGTTTGGTTGATGTCCCATGGCACATCCATTGTGGATTTGTCTTTGTCCAGGATAGGGCAGCTCCTGCACTTCTCTCACAGATGTCACCCCTGCAGCCCCTCTTGCTGCCAACACCTTGTCACAGACACCTCACACTTAAACACATCAATCCTTCTTTTCTTGTAGCACTTTTAAGGCTTTGTAGTGCTGGCTTCCCCACTCCAAATCTCATATTTACTTGCAATCCATCAATAACCTAATTTAACATTGAATCTTAGTGATTAAACTGAAAATACCCTCTTTGGAGCTTGTTATTGTAGGAGGTGTGGGATTTGCTTCACATGTGACAAGCTGTATGAGCTGCGTAATATCATTTACTCTCCCTCACTGGTAGAGGTAATTCCTTATTCTCCTTAGTCTGCCAAAAAAACCCAAATCTACAATTACAAGCTTTATTAGGTTATTAGGTCCTGCAGTCATCAATATTATTTTAAGAGCAATGAGGCTTTTTTTTAGGCACTATTTTTTGGTGGGTTTTGGGTTGGTTTGAAGGGGTTTGGGGGTTTTTTTGTATTTTTGTTTGGTTTTTTGGGGTTTTTCTTTGGTTTTGTTTTGTTTTTTGGGGTTTTTTGTTATAAACCAGCAACCTCTGATGAGCCCTTAGGCTGGACATGAAGGGATGAAAATGGCATTGCCTTTGCAGATGCTGAATGCCATGCCAAGTTTACAAGCTCCCAGGGCAGCTGTCACAGCCCCAAGAGTTCAAAAATGTTTGGACAAAGCTCTCAGGCACAGGTTGTGACTCTTGGGGATGGTTCTGAGCAGAGCCAGGAGTTGGGCTCAATGATCCTTGTGGGTCCTTTCCAATCCAGCATGTTCTGTGATGCTGTGATACTATTTAATAAGTAGCTTGTGCTAATAAATATTATTTAGTTCTCCGCCCTTATCCATCAGATATTTATCCAACTGGACTGTGTGCTGTGAGACTTAGCTCAGTGATTTTATTTCATTTATTGGAGTAATTGCGCAGTGATGGAGAGTTGCTCTGTGCTCCCCTGCTGCAGCTCCTCAGTGAATGTGCACCTGGGCAGGAGGGAGAGAGGCACATTAAAAATAATATTCCACTGCTGTGCCCCCTGGAAACAAAGATCTGTGGGAGCTCCAGCAGAGTAATGTCTCATACAGGCTTTGGAGGGAAAACTTTGCCTTGCCTGGGGTGAGATGAGGAGGATGCACCCTCTCATTAAACATGAAGGAAATGGTCCCCCAGCTTTATGCAGTATGTCTATTTTGTGTGGAAATGCATAATGAAAACCTGCAACTTACATGTGGGATTTGGAGTCACAGAGTAAATTATTTGTCCAAAGCCATGGAGCTGAAACAAGGAATTGCAGTTGGATTTTTGAAAATGTAAGCCAAAATCTTTTTCTGTGTTCTATTTTTCAAAAAACAAATCAAACCAAGAACTAAAATACCATTGCACCAGAGTATGAATATTACAAACCCATCAGTTATTGGAATTAACTTCAATGGCTTTTAAAATGCACACAGATTTAGACAGACATGCAAATGTATATTTTTATATGTATTTGTGTTTAAGTAGCAAAAAGCTCAATAGTGCTTGTTCCCTGAGGTTTGACCTGGACTTGTTTCTAATTTATGAACCCTAATATTTACCAATCTAAAGGCTAATGTTGTTTATAGATTTTGAATGCTAATAATTCTTTTATATTGTATAAATATGTATTTACATTGGAAAATCCTTATGAAGCTGAATTAAAGGCAAATGCAAATATCTGGGTTAATTTTTTGCACATTTTCAAGCACATACCAGAAGGGAAGAGCAAAATTGGTCATTATGAGTACATAGTGATGAAAAATTGCTAGACACAATAAAGGATAATTTCTTTGGTTTCCACAGCATAATGGAGTATGAATCATATTTAAAATTAATGACTGAGAAGACAGATCATGATTTGAATGTCATCAGTAGCTATTTTACTCCTCCCTAGAGCTGCAACAAGCCTTTTATGAGAGATGAGTTCCTGCAAACAAGCCCTTCTAAGCTGTCTGGAAGCTCCTAATTTATAACAGAGCTTTATAAAATGCTTTATTTTTACTTTTTTCTGTGCTTGGGGTAAGAGTAGTAGACTGGGGACATCACCTTACTGTCCAGCAGGTAACGTGCAGTTGTTTTTTTGCAAGTAATTTTTTCAAACATAACTTTTTTGAGGGGTGTTGTTGGCAGTACATGTCCATGCTATTGTTTCTATTTAAGTGAATATTTGAATTCTGTTACTGTGGTAGACATTAAGCAGAGATAATGAGTTGTCATCATTATATTTTCTGAAAAATCCCTTCACCAGGATTTCTTCTCCTGGGAAGATGAGAAGCCTCAGCTTCTCCATGTTTTGCTCTTCTGGAATGAAGTCTGGAGATTGTTTATGCAAGCAAGTGAGTTGTTTTTAATTAATCAGCAATAACTATCAGCTGTGTTGGACTCTGAGGAGTCAGTCACGAGCTTTCATTATCATTCCTTTTTAGCCTTCTGATGTAACCCTTCTCTAGTAATATGTAATGTAATGTAATATAATATAATATAATATAATCCTTCGGAGAACATGGAGTCAATTTCTCATCTCTTACCCCATCCTAGGGACTTCACAACACCACAATGAGTCAACAAGGAATCTTTTTCAGGAAAAAGGCATCCTGATGTTTTTTATAGTGCAAGATATTGAGCAGCAATAAGAGGGAAAAATCAGGGTTATTTTTTACTTCTATGTGTATGTAAAATGCCTTTTTTTTATTTTTCAGCATCAGCAACAGTCTTATATTGAAATTTGAAGTCTGCTCTTGGAGATCAAACTTCTGCAAAAAGATGAAGCACACCTTCTGTTTCAAAGGACAGCAGGTTAGACCTCTCCTGACATCCAAACTTTGTGTTTACTGGAGCTGGTGTGTACTTTGAGCTCACGAGTTGTCCTTAAGCTGCTGCAGTTATTACAGTGGTGTATTACCTTTCATTCTACCCACCAAATCTCTCATGGCTCATTTGGCCTGCACTGTGATGTTCTGTGAGATTGTTTTCATTTCTCAGTAACTTATATCACAGAGTGTCTCAGGTTTAGCCATAACTCTATTTTCACTGACAGGCTCCTCTCTGCTCTTCCTTTTGCAGCTGGCTCTTGAGGAGAGCACTCATAAAGCATGGACACTTAGGATCTCAATTTAAAGAACCTGCCAAATTACACCTTCAAATAGGCATGAAGGCAGGATCACACGTTGAAAGCAGGCAGTAGAATGGTTTATTTTTACAAACAGAGATAGACCAGGAGGGTCACTTTCATGTATAATAGTAGGACTTCTGGTTTAGTGCATCATTCTTTATGCTGCACTGTCCTATTTACAGTCTTGTAATGTCAGAAAAACACTTTCCATTGTATTTAGGTTCTCTTATTTTATGGCAACATGTAGAAAGATACAGAAGCAATTCTGCTAAAGGTTGCTGAAATTTTGTTGAATAATGTTCCCCTTCACATCATTACATGATATTGTTTTGCAGGAACTGGAATGGGTACCGTGAAAGTTGAGAACTCTGGTGATCTGTAGCTTGGCAACTACAGCAGTAGCCTGAGATCTGGAAGGCACAGATATGCTCAATTTATTGCTCTGCAGAAAAAAATTCTGGGGATATATATATATATATATATATATATATATATATGTGTGTGGGTGTATGTGTGTGTATTTATCTATAAAATATATATATATATACATGTGCATGCATACATAAATATATGTATTTTATATGTATGTGAGTGTGTTATAGATAACATACATACAGAAATAACAAAAACAAAGTAAAATCTCCCTGCATGCTATTTTGTACATTTCAGAGAACAGTGTTCTGAGTACTGCATGGCAGGATTATATTATCTTAATAAATACATCCTTAAAGAAAAAAGAAAGTGTTTAAATATACGTTACTTTTAATATTTTATATCATTTTCTTGAGAGGCTTACTTCTTATTTAATTGTGGTGAAATCTAGGTGTCAAAAATTAGAATTTTAAAAAAGAAACGTGATTGCTGTCTCTTCATCAATTATGACATTCATTTCCATTCTCACTACCAAGGGGGCTCATGAACTACATGGAGTAATGCCCTCTGTTCCTGGTGGCTCCTCAATCAACAAGGCACAAGGATTAAAGGAAAATACTCATCTTGGGAAGTTCATGGGAACATGAATAAATTGAAGTCATCCTCTGCTCTACAAAGACAATCAGTAGAAGTTATACGCTGCTGCTTCTGAAGGTAATTGCCTCCAGGCATTTCTCTGTTTCATTTTTTATTTTGCACAAGCCACACCTGATGCAGTATTGTGCTGTGTAGGAGTGGTTCTGATGGCTTAGAAAGGCAACCCAAATTATGTATGAATAGCAAGTTCCAATGCTCATAGAAGCACGTTAGAAAAACATTACACAGAAGCAATAATTTGAGATCCCAAACACGTTTTTTGCCCATTAATGATATTTTAAAATGCAGAAAGCACTTCTGTGGAGCATGAAGGATGGTCAGGGTTAGCTAATGAGGCTGATAGGTACAAGTGCTGCACGCTTGATCTGCCTTGGACCCTAATGCTTATTTGGACACGTCTTATTATTGTGTGGGTGTTAAGTCTGTCCAAGCTCATAATCAATGGATATATGGTAATTCACAGTGTTTATGTCTCTGTCTTGGATAGCTGGAACAAAGTGATGAGAATGTAGTTTGCTAGGTTCATACAGGAAATTTCTCATGGACAATCTGAGCAAACTAATTGCTGGCATTAACATGGGAGTCATATGAGCTGTGCTAATGATACAGATAATGAACCCCCCACCTTTGGCCATCACTTTATTACCTCCAGGGTCAGTAAAGAATTTATGCAACCCTCAGTTACAGTATAATTGGCTATTTGTACCTGGGAAGAATTTGGTACTGCACAGTATCTTCAGATATTATCCATCGACTGTAAAAGTGCTTTAGGTACATCAGAAAAAAAGAATGGTGGGGGGACCCACTGTCAAAGTCTGTTGGGAAATGGAGAGTTTAAAACCCTGTAATTTTTGGTCACAGATCTTTGAGCTCTAAAGGAAACAGTCTGAACTGACAGCTTAGCAATAGCTTAGCAGATCTATAAAAACTGTATATCAACAAAATGGTGATGGCTTGATGTTGCATGAACATCCTGAACCAAGCAGGGCAGTGCTTTGCTACGTGTAGCTCAGTTTTGTTGATATGACGACTCAATCTCACAGAGAGACAGCAACACTCAGGCTGCATTTCTTTGTAAGCTGTATGAAAAGCCTGGGGAGAGAATGATTTTAATTTCAGCTGGTTTTGCAGAGGCGATCGACTTGGGTTTGGGCATTCTGAGTTAATTATCCCAGGCACAGAGGCACAGGTGTCTGTCAGTGTCAGGAAGTTAAAATGATGCCCACAGCAAAGAGTTCTGCCAAAATCTCCAGTGTGAGCTGTGACTTAGTGCTTAGTCAGACCCAGGCCCTTTTCCAAGAAGGGCTCTTGTGCGGTTGGCAGGCATCTGAGCTGACAGGGGATGTTCTTTCCTGCCATTCCACACGCACAGAACTGCAACTTCTCCCTTTTTAAACCAAATTCCAACAAATTTTAAACCACATTCCAACAGCCAGCCACCTGTAAAAGGTGGGAAAATGATACTAATAGCCACGAGGTGGCCAGGAAGAGTTTCCTAAAGTATCCCTTATCTTAACAGGGATGGTTCTCATTGGTTCTCAATGGCTCTTTGACAAACAGCCCAAGGAATTACTGGATTTCCACTAAGGCATTTCAGTGGTTTTGGATACGAATTTTAGCTGTAGAAAAATTACTTAGAATAGATCTAAGTCTAAAATGTGATCCCAAATCTCGTGCTCGCTGGTTGCCTACAGTGCCATGGCTTTTATTTGCTTATTTTTAGGGATCGTGGGACTACTCCTGTTTGAAACAGCTCTGCCAGGAGCTGCAGCTAAAATCAGATGAAATGTCCACTACAGTAAAAAATTCTGGATACTCAGCAGACACCCTCAAGATTAGGTTGCTGCAGCTACCCTCCTCACAATTTTTCCTGGACAAATGAGAATAAAGAGATTTTTGTCTTTAGAGAAAGATTCATAATAGAAGTACGTATCAGTTTAGCTAAAGAAGAAGTAAATCAAATCATGCTAAAATTATTTCAAGTGTTTTTCCTTACCTTAATTAAAAATAAAAGAAGAATTCAAATGGAAAGTAATTTAAAAAAACCCAAACTGTCAACAATAGTAAACAAACTTACAAAGAAATAATGAGTAAAAAATTATCTTCATTTAAATTTTACCTTTCTAATTATTTGTGGCTCCAAAATAACTCCATGAGTAGAATTCAGTGAAGTAAATTCACGTTTTTCATTTAAATAGTGGAAAGCAGTTTTATTGTTTTTCCACAAGCTTCTTAAACCAGAGCTTTCCAATCACTTTTTAAACATAATAATTGGAAAAGCATTCACTTACTCTGTTTTAAACTAGCTAGTAATGAGTTCACTCAAACTGCACATTGATATTATTATGAAAATCTCAAGACAACTGTAACTTTTAAAATCAGTCTAAGAATTTGATATTATAAGAGTATCATTCTAAGAAATCCAAGTGGAATAACTCTACAACATTTTAGAATTTAGTATTATTTCAAAATATGATGTTTGGCAGCAAAGCTTCAAGGCAAAAATTGCTGCCACAGCACGGCACAGCAGAGGGATATCTGTGCTTATCATGCCAGCAAACAGGTGAATCTCATCCAAAGATCTCTGCAGACTCTCCTCACATGGTGGATCTGGGCCATAACTTTGCTAGGACCTTGTCAAACCACACATACTGTGCTTTTCATATTCCTACAGGACATCCCATACACACTGGGGGTTTTTCTGCTTTCCCCAGGAGGAGCTGTGCCATTCCACTGTGGTTCCCCCAGGAAAACAGCATCCAGCACCTGTCTGTCCTTGGCAGAGAGCTGCTCACTGCCTCCTCCTGGGCAGATTTTAGGGCAAGGACATGGAGTTGCTATGCTGAAGGATTTGCTTTAAAATAGAACTGATACTCCCAGGACCTGGGACAGAAATGTAAACTCAGTGATCAGGTGATATGGAAGAAAAGGAGAAAAAAAGTTGCTTCAGGTCTGCCCTTACTGCCTACGTTCTGTCAGACCTTGTGGGAATTTTAGATTAAGTTTGCTGCCTGAATTTTTTGCTAGTAACAGGAGGGTACAGTACCAGGCAATTTTACAAGTGTGGCTGCTGCACTGAAATATTAAGAATATCTTTTTTCCCTGTACTTTTGACCTGTGAGACAGGAAACTCCCTGTTCTGAGAATTAAAGCAGCAATGCAGTTTAGGCTTCAGCTGTGAGAACTGGAGAATTCTTGATATGACAATTGGTGGATTTAGTATTTGTTTAAAACCAAAACCAACATAAGCAGCTAAATTGCACCATCTGGAGCAAGAGGCAAATGTAAGCATTTTTATTTAAGAATCAGTTTCTTATTATTTATAAAAGATGTGTGGCATGAATTCACTCCTTTTTTTTTGTTTGTCAGGGAGCATCATTCATGGGAAATAGCTTTGTGTAGACATCTGGAATAGAAATTTCTCAATAATTTTATATAATAAAATCCAGAATAAATACTAATTATTAATAGTCAAGATTGCTTAAGGATTTCAGTCTAGCTGACAGCCTGAACAAAGCATAGGCAGATGCTTCAGACAGGCTGTAAGGAAGACTGATAATTCTGAGCAAAGCCAGGGAAGTGACCTTTTATTGTGGCAGGAACTGCAAGCATCACCACACTCCTCACCACCACGCTGCACAAATTACACCCATCCATTGAGTACATCTAGAGAACCTTGATGTCCAGCTGGTGCTCTGCAGCTTTCACCTTTAGGCTGGGCATTCAGAAACTGAGGCATGTAAAATCATCCGTCATCTTCCAGATTTGATGGGGAAAGTGGTGTTTTCATAAGAGCGCAGTCATTTTGTTTTCACAATACTAATTTGTTGTCAATGATTAATGAAATGGTAATCAGTTTTTACAGGGTTTGTCTGGCAAAATGACTTCATTCATTCAGTGTTTACAGAAAAGGAGCATGTGAGAAATAATTTATATGTGATCCTCAGAAACTTTTTAAGCTTCATCCAAGTTCTTTCAAAGTGAATAGATAAATATGAAGATAAAATAAGGCAGTAATCTATGTATATTCAGCCAGAAACAGACTATGATTTAGAGCCTCTTAGGATAAAAAATAATGAATGAAAAAGACTGCTTAATTAAAACTTAACATTAAGTTGTGCTCTTTTATAAAGGTCCATCTAATTCTGTACAATATTTTTTCCAGACAGAAGGCCTGCAAAAGATAGATTATACTAACAGATAGAAAGAAAGAAAAAAATTCAGTGAGACCAAGTCAACCATTAATAAAGCAACCATTAGCACATTTATGGAGCTTTGACAGAGGAGGATATAGGAAAATGAAGTACTTAAAAGAAGCTGCCATCAAAGAAACATAGAAAAGTTTAATTTTGAATATGTGGCTATTTTTTAATCTTAGGGACTCTGATTTAGCTCCAAACATAATTTATGTATGTACAATTCAATTGTCAGCCTAAATATAAATGTGCATTATACTGCCTATCCAAAGAAAGGTACCAGCTCAATTCTTGTGGTGTAACCTCCCATACCAAGAAAGGCCAAAATTATTTGTTCTTCAGTGGATCTTTGTCTTTAGTGAGCATGCAGTCAGTATCAGGAAGCTGGATTTATCACAGTGGAAAAACTAGACCCTGGCAATCTGCTCGGTAAAATTTAATTTAGATTTAATTAGCGATGCACTGCAGTCAAGATACATGGGTTCAGGAAGCTGGATTTAATACTGAAGGGGTAAAAGTTGACTCTGTTTAATTGGAACTTCCACCCACAAAGATTTGCCTTTCAAGCTGGGTGGCTGTGGCCAGCACAGGATCAAAACAGCTCCTGGGGCAGGTGAGTGCTCCTGACAGCAGAGTGACAGACATTTGCATTATCAGCAGTCATCCAGAGCAGCCTGTCCTCCTGGTCTTGTGTCCAAACTTGGTTTGTTTCCTAATCCAGTTGTTTTTCACACTGATTTATCATCATTATCTTCACATGTCTGAGGACAGAACCTGATTAATCTCTATCACCACTAGCTCTTTTATTTTTGTTTTATAATGACTAGTTATAATTTATAATGACTACATAAAACTTCCAATGACTAATAGATCAGTCCTTTAAAAGCATCTATTTTAAAAAATTATCTGTGTATTTACCCATTGTCAGAAACAGCTAAAATTCCTGTTGTCACTCAAAAGCAATAAAAATCCAGGAGAAGGAAAACCTATCAACAGGTTTAAAAGGTAGCTTAATGCTCTCAAACTGCTTTCAGAATATTTTAATTTGAATTAGTATTTTTGAAAATGGAGATGTTCAGAGAGGTATAACTTTCTTCTCAATTATAAAAAACAAAGTTAGAAATTGTCTTTGCCCTACACATTGACACAGGTCTGTGTGGTGGCCTGAGAATCCTGTAACGACCCTGGAGTGACTGAGGAGCATCTCTAAGCCAAATATTTTTTCCTGTAAGACAAAGATGTTAGAGGTTTGCTCTTGCAATGCTGTTGCTTTCAGTGGTGTGGTAGAATTGGGATATCTGTAGGGTGCTGGTCAACAGCTCATTTCTTGATTGCAATTATCCCTTTTTCATTACATTTAAGAGCTTTGCTACAGATGAGTAACATACGGCATTGGCTGAGGAGATGAGACTTTAATGAGATATAGAAGATGCCAGCAAAATGCATGTTAAATTGCAATGACACGCTTGTGTTGGTAGCATGTCGTGTTGTGAAATTAAATTCCTGACAAGACAATGCAAACAAATCCACTTCAGCAAGCTTGTAGTCACCCAGCTTGTCCTCAAGTTGGTCCAGGAGACAGGCAAGTGGGAGGCTGCTGGGAGGGATTGGGTTGTTTCCCTGTTATGTACCATTTCATAAATTAATTTCATCCTTTTTCTCAGATTTTGCCCAAGGATGTAATGAGGCACAGCATTACTCACTTGAAGTTGTAAGTCCGACTGGTGTTGCAAAAGGATCTTCCAAAAGGTGCTGCATCTGTCTTAGACACACAGATTTTCAAGCAGCTAAACAATAAAAAAAAATCAACAAGAAACTGTGAGTAATATGTGACTTGCTGTAACCTGGAGCCATGCACACTATTTAATCAGCAAAACGGAAAATTTTCCATCTGGGAATACAAAAACCAGCCTTCTCTTCAGCTCAAGCCGTGGCTGTAGAGCAGATACAGATAGCAGCACTCCTGAGCATCTCTGACACTTTGACTTTCGTGCCTGGACTCCCAAATCACCCGTTTTTTGTAGGGAAGAGTAAAAGTAATAACACTAACAATATTGTTGTGAGTAGCTCACAAGGTTTGGAAGGGTTTGGTAACATCATTACTCTGCCTTGGGAGAGATTAAAGAAATTAAATGTTAGATTCCTGGCCAAGGAATACAGATCCAACAGACATAACCTAGGCTAGCATCATTTGATGGGTAAAATGAAGCTATAAGTGTTCCATTAAGATTGCTCCTCTTGGGTCTTTCTGACACTCTCCAAGCTTCCTCTTGCCCTCCCTCAAGTGCAGAGAAATACAAGTTAGAAAAGAAAAGCATGTTAACATCTTGTTTTCCTACTATGCCTTGGTAATACAGCCAGTTAATTGAAAATTGCAGCTTTCATGCACTCAGCCTTCCCAAAACATCTTATGGTGCAAATGCCTTTTTTGGAAAAAAAATACATTTTATCTCCTTATGAAGAGTTTGTTCATGTTTGTTTCACCTTGACAGAATTTGGAAAGCAGAAGGCAAGCAAAACTTGCAGTCCTAGTTATTGAGAAAATGTGTTTTTCAGGTACAAGAATTTTCATGGAAATTTGCCTAGATGTGAACTAGAAGTAATCTGAAAAATATTCAATCATTTGTGCTTTTAAGGAAATCTAGACCTATTTGTGGACTTCATGGGCTGTTTTTCATATCTGTTGCAGAACTTCAAATCTAATCCTTGATGCAAGTTCACTGTTTAGAACACATGTGAACCACAGAAAATCATTTAAATTCCAGATATAGTATGCTTGAGGGGGAAAAAAAGTCAAGATCTGAAGAATAGCCGTGACACCATCCATAACATACCTCTATAATACGTGACCTGCAGGTGAGTGCAGAAGTTTTTAAGGCATCTTTAAAGTAGATTGCTCTGGCAATTCAGCGTCAGCAGCTGATCATTAGCTAGCTCTGGTTATCACACCAGATGCCAAAGTGAGCTTTGCACCACGCTGACCTTCAGGATGCTTTCAGCAGTCAGACAGCCTCGCTCTGTCCCACAGGGGCTGTGTACGCACATCGGTGCATTCGCTGTGTCTGCTGTTAGTGATGCGCTCCGTTCCTGCTTCTTGAGAGTCAGGAATCTCTGAACAAGGGAATTCTGGCTGGGGCTAAATCCAAAATAAGGAATGTGGGCGTGGCTACCCCAAAGAAGAGAATGTGGGTGTGGCTAAACACAAAAAAGGGAATGTAGGCATGGCTACACCGAAATAAGGGAATGTGGGTGGGGCTTAGCCCAAATAAGAAAATGTGGATGTGGCCAAATCCAAATATGGAAATGTGGGTGGGGCTACACCCAAATATGGAAATGTGGGTGGGGCTAAATCCCAAATAAGGAAAGGTGGGTGTGGATAAATCCCAAATAAGGAAATGTGGGGGTGGATAAATCCCAAATAAGGAAATGTGAGTGTGGCCAAATCCCAAATAAGGACAGGTGGTCATGGCTTAGCCAAATAAGGAAAGATGGGTGGAGCCAAATCCCAAATAAGGAAAGGTGGGTGTGGTTAAATCCCAAATAAGAAAATGTAGATGTGGCTACACTCAAATAAGGAAAGGTAGGCAGGGTTTAGCTAAATAAGGAAGGATGGGTGGAGCCAAATTCCAAATAAGGGAGTGTGGGTGTGGCTAAAACCAAATAAGGAAATTTGGGCAGGGCTTAGCCAAATAAGGAAATGGGGGTGTGGCTACACCCAAAAAAGGAAATGAGGGTGTGGGCACACCAAAATTAGGGAATTTTGGGCTTCCTAAATCCCAAATGAGGGAATTGTGGGTGGGGCTAAGTCCCAAATAAGCATCACAGGCCAATGAGGAAGAAGGGGCAGGAGGTGCTCCAGGCATAGGAGCTGGGATTTCTATGCAGCCCCTGGTGACATCAAGGTGAGGCAGCTGTGCCCCTGCAGACCAGACAGGGCACAGGGGAGCAGAGATCCACCTGCAGCCCAGGGAGGATCCACTCTGGAGCAGGAGGATGCTGGAGGAAGCTGCAAACTCCATGGGAGGCTCCTGGCAGGCACCTGTGACCCTGTGGAGAGAGAAGCCCACACTGGGGTTGGTTTTCTGGCAGGACTTGTGGCCCCACAGGGACCCCATGTATGTCCAGCCTGTTCCTGAAGGACTGCAGCCCTTGGGAAGGAGCCACAAGGGAACGGTTTGTGAAGAACTGCAGCCTGTGGGGAGCACTCACGTTGGAGAAGACTGCGGAGGGCTGTCTCCAATGGAAGGGTACCCGCGCTGGAACAGGGAGAGTGTGAGGAGGGCATGGCGGAGATGTGATAAACTCATTTCAGATGCCATTTCCTGTCCCCCTGCACCTGCTGGAGCAGAGTAGTTTGAGCAAATTGTGGCTGAAGGTGAGTCTGGAAACAAAGAAGGGATATGGGGAACATGTTCTAAGGTTTGTTTTCTTTCTCATTATCCTACACTGATTTGATTGGCAATAAATCAAACCAATATCCCCAAACCGAGTCTATTTTGCCCATGACCGTGATCAGTTTGTGATTTCTCCCTGTCCTTATCCTAATCCATGAACCGTTACCTATGTTTTCTTTCCCTTGTCCAGGTGAGGAGTGGCTTTAGTGTGAAAGAGTGTCCTGGCCTCCAGGCATGGTCAACCCAAAACAGAATTGTTGGTTGGGAAATGTAAGGCACCTAATTCCTGCACAGGTCCATTTTCTGATTCCACTTTTCCCATATTTAAAATTAGAACTCTGGAGAGAAGAATATTAATTGATTTTGTGAAATTGTTTTGTGTTATGTTAATTTAAAATGATCAGCTAGCACAGCAGTAATGATCACAGAGGATTGTTCTTTTGAAACAAAGATAACATATCATTGATCTGATGCTTCAAAATTCATCAGAGACTTTTAAGGCCACAAGGGAGTGTTTTGATCAGCTAGGCCTGACTTCTAACACATGGGAAGCAAAGAGAATTTCACTAACAATTCCTGCACAAGTTGTGCTTCTGGACAAACACAATTCTTTTGTTTGCAGGGGCTCCTTAAAATAAAACTAAGGCTTTCTGCCCAGGATTTGTATTCACTAGGTAATTTTAATTTTTCTTTTCTGAAAATAATTTTTTCTTTGAAAAGCATGGCTGAGTAATTAATTTCATTTTATCTCTGACTTGAGATATTTATTAAAATCATAAATGGACTTCTGGAAGTGAATGAAAGGCACAAGTTATCTGTGAACCTATGAGTAAAAAAACTGAGCCAAAAACCATAATAAAATGCTGAAGTACCATCAAACCACTGGAGATGTAAAAAATCATGCCACAGAAATAAATGCAAGGAAAGAAGAAATGGCCAAAGTTGTAATCCAGTGAAACATTGAAAGTGTGCCTGTGATTCTAAATAATGTGAGAAGTTTCACCAAAGGCAATGAGAGTGTTAAAAGTTTCAGAAGACACAGGAATGCCTCTAAGTGCTTTGGCAGATTGAATTTGAAGTGCCTAGTCAAAATCATTAATTTCTTTTAGCAGGGAGGTAAAACAGAGTTTATGAGACACTCAGTAAAATAAATTACAAAACAGAAAGAACTATAAGAAAAAACTTGCTTTTCAACAGCCGTGTTCATGGTATCAGCTAAGGATCAACCTCAAATGAGGTTCCCACTGTGCAGTGCAATGCCCTTCAGGAAGCACTAGGTGCTACTGGCTCTGCAGAACATTCAAGCTAAAGAGATTGCTCCGTTTTTCAAGAAACCACTCTCTTCTGTTATTTTATTGTTTGCCATATTATTTCCTCTTGTTATAGTCTTGATTGCATTCTCAGTTATGCCGTTTTTCTCCCAATGCAGAAGTGTTTGGTTTGCATTTCTCAACATCCAGAACCACCCCTGAAGAAAATAGGGCAGCAGCCTTGCAGGTGAGATGTACCATAGTATCTGTTCAAAGACTGAAGTGCTTCATTTTTGAAGAAGCCAAAGCACGTAATTGAACAGAGTTGCCATGATTAAAATGTAATTAAGGTTGTGAAGCCCTTGAGCACCTTAAGTTGTGGCATGATACAATATTTATTAGGCTTCAGAACACATAATCACATCTTTGGCCATCCAGACATGTTTTGCTTTTTCCCTATGCAAGATTAACCCTCTATTACAGTTTGAGGCAGCTAAACTTATTACTTCTGTATATGACATGTTAGTAATTCTGAGGTGGAAGAGTAAGGACTAGAATTGCATAGAAGACAAGCCAATGAAATGACAAGAAAACACCCATGCTTAAGCATTAATTTAAAAAGATTTTTTTTTTTACTCTTAGTGAATAATGGAGTTAATATAAAATTCTGACAGGCATAAACCTATTGAATAATTCTGATACTGCAATCTACAGGTGACTCACAGCAATAAATTGAATGATGTAAGTTTTATGCAAGAAATAATATTTTAAAATTCAGAAAAAGACATATGTATAATTCATATGGTTAATATTTGAGGTATTTTGAAGGTAAGTTCACACATTTCGTGGTTTAAAAGAAAAAAAATAAATTAAAGAAATGCCCTTCAGTTAAAAACTTGGCAACTAGTTCAAATTCTACTTCTAAATTTGACTTTGTCATGTCTGCTTATTAAGAATATAATTCATTGCTTGGGAATCTGCTCTGAAATATCAATATCTATCATAAATGCTCAACAGTTTTTCAATGTATCAGCTTTCAGACGTTGTCACAGGATCAGCTTCAGTGACTGGGTCAAATTCAGGTGTTGGCAGATGACACTGTGGCCTCTTATGGTAGCTTTGTGAATCTGCTAAGGAACTAAACTACTGTGGTTCAAAAGATTTATGGTTATTTTGATTTTTTGTCACATTTAAAAGCTGATTCAAGAAGATCCTGTGACCCCTACCTAAATCACAACAGAAGGTTGCCACCCTTACACACAGACAGCCTTAATTAGCAATTAAAAGTGCTGTCCTGATTTTCTCTGTTGTGTTTGTTTTTCCAGGTAGGAAAGACCTGTCCTGGAGGGGAAACAAATATAGCCACCATATATTTTTATTTAGAAACAACTGTGAGTAAAGCAGATTTTTACATTGAGACACTTATTAATGTTTAACAGATTTTTGCATGTTGTGATATTCCTTCTTATAGCTTCATGCAGGCAGTAAGGTCTGTACTCATCAGTTAGATCTTGAACAGACACAATCTGGAGGTCTAAACCAGACAACAGAGATCAAATCCAAAACTCCTTCCAAATTCAAAAGAAGGGGGCTTTAAAATAGAGCAATTTTCCCAATAGCTCAGCAGACTGAGGACTAGAGATGCTGCTGTGTTTTGGAGCTGAAGAATCAGCTTCCAGCGTTACCAATGCAATTACCACAATTTCCAAACAGCAGCTACAACAGCAGTACAACAAAGAATTGTATCTGTTGTATACAACCTTAAAATTGAGAATTTGCTTTGTTGGAGAGGTAAAAAAATCTCTTAAAATGAGACTACAAAAGATCATCCTAATTTCTATCTAATCCTGCTCCTGCTGCTTCCTCTTATCATATCACATTGCCTTTTGGAGAGCAGCAAGGGCCCCTTGCCCCCTTCCCTTCCCTTGTCCTGTGCCTCCATAGGCTTAGCCACCACTGTGGGAGTTTCACAGGTTCTCCAGCCAATGCTTTCCAACCCTTGTGTTATAAGCAGGAGGCACATAGAAAAGCTTCCCATGTTAAATACATATTTAGGAACCATTTTGAGCCATTGTAAGGGAGCAGATTGAGGTGGGCAAAACATGTGGGGGATGTGAGGAGGGTAAATGCCATTTGACTGTACAGCTGAAAAATGATTGTTTATTTCTGAAGGGGGTGGGCTTGATAATAGCAGTCACTTTTATCTGTGTCTGCAATGCAGAAGTTTCTCTGTGCTAATCTTGGCACTGACATTGAAATTGATGTGTGGCCTTTAGGTAAGTCACTTAATCAATGTGTTTGTAAAATGAGGATAATAACATTTATTTGCCTGCCTGAAATGGATGTAGTAAGGACAGACTGGTTAGTGCTGTGAAATGCTATTTACCAGTAATTGCAAGTATTATTATGCTGTGGACTTAAACCCCTCCTTGACTGGTAATTGAAATGGCTGAAAAACCAAATAAAAGTCTGAAATGTACAGGTGACAGTGGTTTCAGCTAAGGTGGGGCTGGTTAACCTGCTTCCTTTTCATGAAGCTAATTATGCTTTAGCTGAGGCAATATACATCAAAAAATGTTTTGAGCATGTACCTGCTCTTACTTAGAAATAGAATGAGAGGAAATATTGTGGGATTCATATTTGAATCACTGGGTAATGTACCATTGATAATGGGTCAAGGGAGAAGCTGGGTGTAACACAGAAAAATCTGTGTTCAAGGCTCTGTTCTGGGATGCAGGAGCACTCAGGTGTCCTGAGAGCAGGATGAGCAGTGCAGATAAGACAGAATTAGATGCATCATTACCATTTTCAACCCAATTAACATCCCTGCTCTTCAGGATTAAATAAGGTCTGTAACTTGCCTTTTGGTATGGCAGGCTGAAAAAAAATAAGTCCTGAGGCTGAGAAGAATGAATAATGCTGTAGAGCAGTATGAAGTAGATTAGGAAATGAATTACAGTAAACTGTCTTATCTGTGAGCTGGGCTTTGAGAACTCTCCTGAGGCCTCAGACTGCCCCCTTTATCCCACAGATGTTTCTCTGAGAAGAGAGGAACATAAGATGACTGCCTGGGGTGGCTAAAGAACCAGGTCCTACAAAAAAATTATTTTTGCCATCTGTAATACTGCAAAGAATCATCCTGTTACAAATAATCATGTTAGGCTGATGCAGTAGTTAAACCTAGGCTAAGGTTTCTCTACCAACTAATAAAGGAGTTATTTTATCCCTCCTTATGTTGAGTGAAAGCTCACCAGCAGGGTAAGTGCCTCTGACTTGACTAGAACTTGGGGGAATAACTGCTTCAGGAATGTTATAGAGATCTCATATCATCATCTCCTTACTATTTTCATGGTGAACTTTGAAATTTATTAAGGAAGCAGGGACTCAGACTGCAATATTTCCAAGAATACACCAAGAGTTACGAAAAAATAAGTGGTGGAATTGTAACTGAGGAATAACTTACATTGCCTGTCTCCAGTTTACAGCCTTGCTTTCCAGTTTGAAGTTTTACAATCCAAACTCAGGGCAAACCCAGCCAGGGGGCTGCATCTCCAGAGCAGCAGTGACAAACACAGTGGTTGCTGAGCAGGGCACCCGTGGCTCTTGGCATACTGTTGGCAGGATGGTTTCCTGCATGTTTTGGAGTGGATAAACTCTTCACCAAGCTACAGAAGGAGAAACATTTTGCTTTCTTCTGTAAAACAGTTCTTGGAGAGATCACAAGTCCCTGCACAGTGGCATGGCACCCAGAGAGAATTGTCACACAGAGGCAAATCATCCCGTGTTAATAAGGTTAGAAACAGAGGTGCCTCTTTGGGGCTCATCAAAACCTGCTAGCTGTAGGACACTCAAAGTAGGAAGAATCAGATGTACTGAAAGCCAGACATTAAAGGGATACGCTCATGAGAAGGAGATTTATATTCAGAAATAAAGAATCTGGGTTGCTGTAGGCTCCTCAAGTTCAAAGGAGGGTGTCTCAGGGGAGTTCTGCTACAGTGATACGTGGGCAGAGCCCTGTCACTCAGACTGCAATGAAGATTAGGCAGAGGCAAGGTCCAGCAACTGCTCTGATCCCATGGGAGACAGTGCTACTGGATACTAGGGCATTGCTCTCTGACAGGCAGTGAATGCTTAGAAACATTTCTGGGAATATTAAGTCAAATTGAAGAACATGCCCAGTAATTTAATGGTCCTTTTGGGTCTTGATAATCATAGCCTTACAGAAAAATCGCTCAGAATGGCATTTGAACAGCCATGTCAAAATGTCTGGCTGTGGCAGTGTGCTAAGTATCCACAGGTAACTGGAATATCACGCAAACTCAGTTGAAACAAGATAAAGGCACTCAATTTTCCAGATATAAACTCTGGTCCCAGATTATCATGGTTCTACGTTCAATTCAAATTCTCTCTAAAAAGAAATAGGTGCTGACTTATTTAGAACAGAAATGCATATTTTAAAAAAATCTTGCTCCATTTCCCATGTTTTTATTTCATTGGACCTAGTTTTAACCAACAAGAAACTCAGTTTTCATTGATAGAGCAGCATGGTATGTCATTCTGCCAGCCAAGACACATTCACTGAGTGGTAATTAATATGTACATGAGGCATTCCATCCCCCTTTAATGAGCTATTCTTAACACCAGAAGTACTTCCCAACCCGTGACAGAAGGAGATTTAACCTTACCCTGTCAAACTTAAGAGACAGATCAGAAGTGCTACAAGAGGGGGAATTCCAAGTCCTCTCAATTATGTGGCACCACATGAAATAATTTGGTTACACTTCAGAACGATATGTTCTTGAGGGATAACTTTTATGTACTGCTCCTTCAAACATGGCTCCACTCTGAGTGTGCTGCTTTTGATTTTTAAACAGCTCACACAGCTATAACCCCTGTGTGTTATCTCTAATGATGAATGACAGTATTATATTTACAAGCAGATACCATGTTCTTGAAAGATTTTTTTTTTCCCTTAACTATCCTGGTTTATAATGTAAGACAAAAGAAATTAAAGGTTTTGTTGAATCTTCTCTAACATAATGGAAAGTTATCAGAGAAGATTTTATACTTTTTACTAATAGAGATAATACACAATGCAAGACTTTTTTAAAAGAATGAAAAGAATAAAACTAATCAAACCTTCTTCAGTTAATATGCAAAGCACTATGTAAAACATATTAACCTTAAAGGCATAGTGCACCTGATTTAAACTCAGAGAAAAACTTGTTTCCATGTTTCTGAGTATTGAATAGGTTATAAAATTAATTTAATTTAGTACAGCAATACAACAGAACCCACCACAGTTACTCAGTATTGAAAAAGGTCTTGATGTTTATGAAAAACTGAACCCTGATATAAAAATGAAATCATGTGAACAAGCAGGACAGACACCAAAAGCTGAAACACTTTAGTTTATTCTAAAAATAAAAAAAAAACAGGGCAAGATATTTGACTGTTTTAAATTAAATTTGCAAAACATTTCTAGAATTAAGAAAAACAGAGACAAGAGGTGATAGTTTGCCTTTTTAAAATTAATAGGAATATCTATACATCGTGGAATAGAAAGGAAGTTAAGAAAATGGAAAACATTTATTTTTCTGTTTTTGTTTTTACACTTATAAATAATCAAGTCTTCCTTTTGCAGAAAAGGAATGGCTCCTTGTGCAGCTCCTTGCAAAACCAGAGTAGTATTTTGATGGCATTTGCATCTCATATTTCATAGTGCTGTGCTTTCATCAACATGCAATGACATCATGGAGAAACCATCATGCCTATCTCATCCATTGATATGCTGTTCAATTTTCTTCCATGTTAATTTGAAATTTCTTAGGGATGTCAATGACTTACTGTAAAACAAAGGGAAAAAATCAGTGTTAAATCAAAAAAGAACTAGACAAGGGAGAAGGAGAAGACAAATTTGCTAGCACATAAATCAAGAAAATAAACCTAAAGCAAAAAGTAATATTTTGGGATATTACAAATTTAATAAAGGCAATATTTACAAAAACAGAACTAGGATGAAAATTCCTAAAACACAAAAAGAATTATACTGAAGAAGTCAGCTGAAAAGCTTTATTTTGAGCAATGTAATATAACTCATATACAGAGCTCTTCACAAGTCTTCATGTAAATCTTATTCAGAGCTGCAAGTAACCCAGCAACTTGGACATAAACATGAAAAAAATCCTAGTATTAATCACTTGTAGTAGTGCTAGAGTGGTTGCAACATACCAGAGCACACATTTCTGGCAAACACAGAGAAAACATGGACACAAGTCTTTCATTTTAAAAATTCAAAGAATGTGTATGATATTTTATAGTGCTAAGAAAATAATAAGACATAAACAGTTGATCTTGCTTTTTCCTCACTTTTTGGGTGTCTAATACATGTCCTCATCCATCAGCCCTTTCAAATGTTAAGTATATCACATGACTTGAGTCAGATTGATATTCATAGTGAGCATCTTTCAGTGTTCTGACTGGAATAAGAGTTTGATTGTTCAGGAGGTTATGTTCCTTGAGACCCAAGAACGACAGCAAAGTAATCACAGTTCACAGAAATTACATGTATGTACTAAAAACCATCAGTGAAGATGTGAGTTTATTCTGAAATGACAATTAATTACAAGAAAAGGAAATGGAACACAGAAGTAAGAACATTTGGCACTTTGCAACACAAATGTCACAAAGAAGATTTTGGTGGATACAGCTAAATTATGCGCTTTTCAGTAAGACACACTAGTAATTTAAAGTAAGAGAAGCTAAAACATCCTATGCAGAATGACACAGTTAATACTTGCCCTTAAGTCCTGCAGAGGAAGCTTTTGTGTTCTGAGGATGATGTTCCAGATTTAGAAAATGACTCAGCTCCCTCTGCAAGTGCCCCTTGTGCACGTGTTGAATCAGAAGGCAACACAGGAGGTGCTGAGGAGACAGCTGCAGGAGTGCTTAGGTCAAGAAGCAACAGATAATTCATTAATTTAAAGAGTAATTCAGTATTTTAACTGAGTGCACCTGAAACAGCAGAAGGAAGGAACAGAAAAAATAATTCTAACAGTGTGGACAGTTATCTTATGAATGAAGAAACCTCTTTATTTGCACAAGTTAATTCCTTAACTATAAACAGTAAAAAAAACCAGATAATGACAACCAAGAGACATGTCAGGAGAGGACTCTGTGGTTTATGACACTAAGCTTTAATGAGGGTAAAGCATGAAAGACTTCTGAAAATATTCCTACTTTATAGTATACTGTTCTTAATAGAGAGTATTTTTATGTCTACTACTTCACTGCTATCAACCTAACTGACCAAAGGCAGTGAACTGTAGCACTAATTAAAAAAATGTTAAATTTATAGAAGGTTGTTATTAAGGCAAAAATATATACCTATAACAAAATATAAATATAATAATGTATATAAAAATCATATTATATAGTATATAATATATAACAATATATTATGGTAAATCTGTAGTAAGATATATAACAACCTATAACAATATAAATCCGTAATGATAATTTTGCCTGGAACAATGTGGTATGAGTTGGTATGATAGCACAAAGCAAATGGCAGATGGGTTCCAGAGACTCAGAATAACTACAGGTCTCTGTGTTCTCATTTATCCCAATACAATTATTCACATTTGAAATTCTTTGAGAAAAAAGAACTGGAATAAATGAAGACATAAAAATATTTGTAATTTTTTACCAGGACATACCATTTTGAATACTGAAGTATTTCTACTGCATATTTATCAACAGTTGGCTAAGGTAGGAGTAGTACACAATGAGCTGTTTTGCTCATGGCTCCAAAACCCATATATATAAGTTTTTTCATAAGATCTGTTGGGATTTTAACATAAATTTGGTAAATACTACAAAAGCAGAATAAATTGGAAGAGACGTTGGGCTTAAGTTTTTTTATATTCTATATTAACAAATTACTGAATTGCTGACAGGCAGTAAGACAGGCCTTTGAACAGTATAAACATTCATGATGTCTTCCATTTATAGATGCTTTTCCTGAGAAGCTCAATGACAAATTTGAACTTAACAATGCAATGACCTCCAGTTTTATACAGCTCTGCTGATGGTGCAGTTCAGCCAAACTGCTGTGATTTTGAAAAATCAACCTGTCTCTAACCTGTCTCCTGGATTCTCCACTAAGGAATTACAGCTTCATATTGCTGAAACTACTGGTTATAGTAAAGTAAATGGTTGAGTGATAGAGGAATAAAATTGCAGAGGATGGTAGAAATCTGAGAGCTCAGGAGTAAAGATATTGTACAACGTTCAAAGTAGCTGGGAATAGGTAAGAGGGAAGCAGATGTTTTAAGGTTTAAAAATAAGAGCTTACCCAAAGCTGAGGAATTAGAATCCCCCAGCCTAAACATCACTTTTCTTCTTGTGTAGGCCTCAGGGGCTGATGACTTAGAAAGCAAGTCCCATCTCTGTCTGCATCAGGAAGACTGCCAAGCTCAGGACTTAGAAGGAACTGGAAAGGTGATCAGAATATCACAAAAGTGAGGCTCTTCTGCATGAATCAGATAAATTATACTGTATAGAATATTTATTGGGCTAACAGTAAATTCTTATCAGTGTGTATATAGTGTAGCAAATAAGATTTTCATTGTAACAAACTGTCTGTGAATCCTTCTAGTTGGGTTGCTGAACAACCAAGCCTCTGAAAAAACTTTGGTAGGAGGAAGCTTAAAGTCATCATAGAAGACTGGGAAAAAAATGCAGTCCTGTTTTCTGGCAATTATCTCATTTACTATAAAATAAAATAAATTTGGATCACTGACAATCCAAGGCAGGCAGAGAAACAGTAGTTACATCAATTTACGATCTGGCTGTGACTCACTCCAGCCAAACCTTGCAGTGGCAAGTAGCAGGTTTTGTGAGGGACAGGGAAACTTTGTTGAAAATCTGAGAGAAACAGGAGAAAATAGATGGCAATCAGAGCAAGCTGATGATAGGTGGATACTGAATGGAAGCACCAAATCTGCTTACACTTGCTTTATAAGCCTCTGATCGTAGTCCTGTGTGATTAGAGATCTGTCTCTGTCCCTTTCTCACCAGCTGAGTACAGACTGTTTTTATTATGGCTTTACCTGTAAAGGACAAAATCAGGTAGATGGATAGAGAAATCAAGGAAGGAGAAAACCAATCCAACCTCTTACTACACATGCCCACTCTGCTCCTAGAAACACCTGTCTTCCTTTCCTTTTGTAGAAGAAATGGCTGGGCTGGGGGAATGGCACATTCAGCAGGGACTAAGCCTTGGAGATGCAGATTGTTGCAATCCAGCTGTTCCTGCAGTAGCAGCTGCCAGCTGTGGGCAGATATGCAACACTCTACAAGCTGGAAAAAGAGGCACACAATTTGAAAAATTGTATCATCTGGGGATGGATCAAAGCCAAAAGAAAGCAGAGACATATTAGGACCAGAAAAAGCTGTCAGTCTCTGTTTGAAGTTTATATGGTAGAGACAGGCAAGCCTTGAATTATGGCCAGGGTGTATTTTAAGTCCTGTAGTGGATGTCCTGGACACAGAAACATATTTAGTTTGAGGGCCTGTACACACTGGAACAGTACAGAAAGAGATGGCAACCCATATGAGGGAAGAAGTGATCTAGGGGACACTAAATAATAGCAGACAAGAAAAACAAAAAGTCCATCAGGGTGCATGACTCAGATGCTATAAAAACTGCTCTTTTTTTGTCAGCATTCACTCTCATAAATTCTTCTCTGGTAGAGGTGGCAAAAGGGGGATGACAAAGTGAGAAGAGGCAGGAAATAGTGCAGTAAGGAAACTGTGAGATCTAGAACAAACACATGGAAACAACATAAAAAAACTGGCGAAGTGATTCTGGAATGAGCTGATCACTAACTGAAGACTGGCAACTATTGCTCATGTCCCACCTTTACAAGCACCAAGGTGAACTTCCCCTCTTGAGGATGGTGTGCCCTACTGGTGGAACTACAGGGAAAAAGGAAAATGAAGAAAGAGCCTGGATGCTGCCTGAGAAGATAATATAATGCAGAAAGAAACACAGAAGTGCATGCTTAAGCAGGAGAAATCAGAACTGCTGTAAGCAGTGATGATGCCCTAATGCAAGGGCTGATGGTACAAGCAAGAGGAAATCTGCACCCAGTGGCTGCTTAAGCTAAAATGAGATTGGTCACCAATATTAACCATCTTTTGAGCAGAATTAGGTAATGGAAAACAACATTCAAAGAGAATTTTGAGAGATAAACAGAAGGCTCAGAGACATCAGAAAGGAAGGGTGTTTGAAACTGAGGAAAACTGACAGCCATCAGCACTTAAACTATTCTAAAGGAACTGGTATGCATTAACTTAATTTACCCATATAATACATGACTGTAATTAATATATTATCCGTGAAGATTGCTATTTGGATTAAAATATAAATATTTAGCTCCTTGTTGCAAAAAAACTGTTATCTAAAAAAGTTATCTAATAATATGAAGTAAATTTTCATACTAAGTAGTAATGAAGTAGTTGTTTTATTAGTATGTACTTCAAAATGAAATACTCAGGAAACAGAAATGCAGCTAATAATCCTGTATATCCTCAGAAACTCATACTGAAGGAGGTGCTGGGTGCCTGGGTAACTAAGATAACTATTAATTATATTTGCTCCTGTTATTTCTCACAGATAACACAGTTTAATCAAACCCTTCCAAATATACCCATTCTGGAAGCTGTGTATCACTTAGTTTTCTTTACTGCATGATTTTGTTAAGCTGCATACATATAGAAAAAGTGAAAGTCACACCACTTTTCTTTTAACTGCAATGCCATGGCTGATTTTAAAAATGGGCATGACATAAATCTTTCTAATAAGAGAAAAAAGGATCCAACCTAAAGGATTTATCTCTAAGCAAGGAAAAAAACTATGTGGAGACAGATTAGTTCTTCCTAATCCATGAATATTGATGTTCTCAAAAAAAAATAATATATATATATATGTCTCGGATGAAGATTTCTGTATTTATAGAAATGTAGTGTTGAAATGTAGAGTCTTTGTTCCAAGAAGAAAAGGTCAATCACCAAGGCATACAAAATTTCCTATAGAAAATTGTATTGCAGTACAATTATATGTACAGTATATGTACAGTATAATCACCTATGGCAACAGATTACACACCTGTAAATGTAGCTCTGTATCACCGGGATTCTGAAGGCTGAACCTTCAGTTATTGTACTGGGGATATTCTAAGACAAAAAATACATAGTTGTACTCTCAGACCCTTTTGAGTGCTAAAGCATTTTCTGTACACAAGTATGCATTGGATATATATAAATACAGAGAGGTGCACTATTAATGAGGGTGTTGGGTTTTGTCTTTTTTTCCCAAATTTATCCAATACTTTGAAAAATGACAGTGTTAAAATATTAATTGGACTAACAATAGAACTAACAAGTTCTTAGTTCCATATTTGATGTTTTCTTCTAACTACAGAAAAATTTTGAGTGTAGCATTAAGGATCTGGTTCCTGCTCTATCTTTCTGTTCACTCAACACATTGCTGGTCATACCTAAGAATCAACTGGGTCAAATGCCACCAACTGCCCTTAGAAAGTAAACCAGAACTAATACTGACAAGATCTAAAAGGCTGTCTGTGGAAAGCATTTTGGACTTCCAAAAATTCTGCATTTCACACACACTTTGCACCAGATCCATCTGCTTTTCCTGAGGTAAACTCAGGAGAGACTTGAGTTCATGAATACAACTGAGGTACTATTCTGCTTTTTGAAATCTAAAATACTTCTATACATACTAATGAATTTATATTGACAGAGCTGTCAGAGCATTAGCAGTATGCATCTCCTTTCTTCTCACCTCACTTGACCTCCCCAAGGATTAGATGTGTTACCCTCTGAACGATTATCTGGCAACCTCACTTTCTTTTCTGAGTAAAAGGCCAGGCAGCCTGAATGCCTGTAGTGCTTCAGGACTATGAAACCAAGAAACACCCAAGGTAAGATCAGTCCTCAAGGGTTTTAGGAAAGACCTGACAATGAACAGCAAGAAAGCAAAATTGCTGCTGATGCTGTGGGGTTTCAGTCTCAGTTCTGAGTGTATGGGATAAAAGGAATACAGTATTTGGCAAGTGTTAATAAGTTGCTTGTTTAATAGTAATATATTTTTACAGGAGCTGCTGCAATAATAGCAAGAATGTTCCTCTGGGGCAACTATCCCAGAGAGCTCAAGCTACTTATTTTCTAAGTGTTGGAGATAAACACACATTGGTAAAACAGAGGTGACAGCCACAAAGTATTGCGGTATGGCATTACGGAGAGAGTCCAGAATATTTTTTTTGTTCTTCCTCCAATGCATAAACACATATGCAAACACCAGGAATTGCAGTAAGTTGTAGAAAGTTGTTACCATTGGCAGTAATTACTTTTGAGAAATATAGAAGGCATACAACAGACAGAGTATCTGCAACACCCAAAATATTATGAAACTCCTGAAGGTTTTATTTGTGTTTTGCATCTGTGAACTGTTTTACAAATTCTTAGTTGATTTTTTTCAGTAAGACTCATAGACATTTTCACAACAAATATTGTTCTACATCTGGATGTTTTAAACTTGGTATCACACTTTGAAGTGTCTTGTGTAAACAACTTTGAAAGATATTTACATTTTTTATAATTTATTATACAAAATAAGGACACCAAAGCATAATCACACTGCAATATTGTGAAAACAAGAAGCAGTCATTATTTAGGACTTGCAGGTTGTTGGAATGTGTTTTTATTTTGCTCTAAATGGCAAGTGAAAATGGCATTTCCATCAACTCTGCTTACTGGAATCTTATAACTCTGAAACTGGCCTTTTAGGGTTTCACATTCTGTATTTGTTTTGATCTTTGAAGATGTGTTGTTATGTAAAGCTGCTGAAACCATGACAGGGTAAAAGTGATACCTTAAAAGACAGTATCAATACCCTATGTTTCTAATAAACCCTGAACTTAAAATTCTGAAAATTCTAAACTAACAGACATACCAAAAGATACAATTTGCTTGTTTGATGCAGTTTTCAAGGACAGATGCTTTGTTCTTCACATGTAATCAATCAGTTGAATCCTTGCTGTAGTAAAGTTTTAATTATGGAGCAGTGATGTGATGTCTGGCAGCAGCTGTGCAACAGTGACCATTTCCTTTCTCCTATGTGTCTCACCTTGGCGAATCCAAAGATAGGGATAAGTCTCATGGGATCATGGAATAGCTTGTGTTGGAAGGGGCCTTTAAAGGTCACCTGCTACAACCACCCTGCAGTGAGCTACAGCTCCATGCCCAATCTTTGACCTCTCTAGGAAGACTACTGAGATAAAGGATAATTATTTTTAAGGGGGGCATTTGCTTTGGATCTGAATGACAACTGTGCAGTTTATTTCTTATGGATCTTTGAACAGATAACATGGGGAAGCTTAGCTGGCTGATGTGGCAAAATAAGCTAATTTTCATTACTCTTTGAACTCCACTTTGCGTTAGGAACTGAGTGTAAAGAAACCATTCCAAAAGTGGGAGGTTGCAATGGGTTGGTACCCATAACATGCTCAGATGTCTGAAATGTCCTTAAAGGACAGGGGAGCCTACAAGAATCCATTCTTCTGGAATACTGAAGCACAAATCTTTTTGAACTGTCTCTGTCCACAAGAACACCTTTTCTTGATAGTTTGCCATATGAGATCCAGTATAGGCACAAGTCACAGGTTCTCAGTTCTTGCTCATGGACTATCTCTCATCTGGAAGTCATGGGTAGCTGCAATGCCAATAAAAATATGTGTCTCCCCATAGGCAAGCAAACACAGTGGGCCAACCATACCTAGATGTAAAAAGACTTTTAGAAAAAGGAATTGGGAGGAATTCTGCCCAGACTAAAAGGATAACAAGTCTTGATACAGCCTTTAAGTATTGAACTGAACCAAAGGACATGCCTTGTGACTTGTCACTTTGAGAGATCAGCAACTCTTCAATGTTGTCAACACAGAGTTAAAAAATATCCTGCTGTCTTTGGTACCTGCCATCTCTTCTCAGCCAGGTTAAACTGTGGGATTGGATCAGTCTCTATATTTGCTGCACCTCAAAGACAACTCAGACAGACCTGGAAGCAACTTACAGAGCCAGGCCAGGACCAGGGCCCAGGACTGCTCTAAGCCACTTGGTTTGCAGAACCTGGAGCTCAGGAATTTGCTCTGTAGGAGCCAGTAAGAAGTCAGAGACCTCACAGATCCGTTCTGGCTGAAATATGAAAAGAAACTATTGATGAGGGAGAATCTGAACCAGTACCCTATTGAAGAAACATTTCTTCCCTCAGTTGTTATGGTTTATCATCTCTGTCATGTTTTGCAAAGCAAGTGCAACATATTAGTGAATCAAAGTGGAGGTGCTGCATGACAGGAGTGGACATTTTTCTCTTCAAAATTTAGGTTTATCTTTGAACTTTGCATATTAAAAAAAATTAAATCAATTTTATAAATTTAACTATATTTAATGATACACTTACTGCTCAAGCACCACTCTGCAAAATTTTAAAGGATACATAACTTAAGCATGAACATCCTTTGAAAGACTACTTTGGAGTAAATGATATACTCCAGCCTCACTGGTAACTGGGTAACACATGCCTTAGACACCCTTCTCATATGATCCACTGCTGTCCTCATAAAAGAGCAGCTATTCCCAACAGTCCTCCTCTTTCTGTTTCTACTGGCAGCAGCAGCTGGCAGCTTTGTATCCATCCCTGACAAATGCACAAAGACACATTCAGCTGTTGGGACAATATTCATTGTCTGAACTGTCGGGTTTGCCTCCAGGTAGAGGATTAAATGGCACTGTCCTGAGAGCTAACCTCGGCTCATGATGGGAACACCAGGATCATGGTGTAATCAGTGATCAAAATAACATATGCCTTAGTATCTTGCAGTTACTTGTGACAAAGCAGGCAGATAAAATCACGCCCAAGTTGTAAAATGAAACATGAATAGATACAAATGGTATGCTTATTCATATTCCGGTTCACAGAGTGTTAAATATATCACTGGGGCTTTGTCTGTTATAGATAGGGGCTATCTGCAGAATTTAACTTCCTGAAGTTCAAGGTTGCTTGTATATGAGGCTGGATGCTGTGTCATTTCTACTTAAAATGAATGTTACAAAGGGGTCCCTGCCTCCAGGGAGGTGCAAGTCACAGCTACATTCCTACACAAATTGCTAATGCTCATTTATAGATGTCTCTCGTGTTTATACTGAAAAGCTAATAACAACACTAGGAAATTGCTTGGGCTTCCTGACAATGAATATAACCAAAGAACCTGTGCTAAGACTGAAGCTGTTTCCAATGCTCAGGCATTCAGGGGCTGCAGGAATTGCTCTCCCACCTCCACTTCAACCAGCAGGTGCCCTCTCCAGTACTTGGAACACCAGAAACCCCAAAGCAGCATTACATGTAACATGCACCCATTGTAAAAAACCCAATTTCCTGGCTCTTGAGAAGCTGGAATTTTGCTTCTCCTTTATTTGACCAAGCTATTTAAGTGCGAGAGTGAGTAGAATTTGCAGGAGAATACGATGCACACAGTATGAGGAAAGAAGCAAAAAGAAGACGGTAAGCGTTGTTAAACGTTGTTTTAGCACAGGCACTGAAATCACTGCCACACAGAAAGTTTTGAGAAGCCTGGATAATTTTAGAAACAGTTTTTCAGCCTCCAGAAATTGAAGAAATTATGGCCACTGTGAAAAAAAAATAAATCTTGATGTATCAGAGCAGGGTGTGACAAGAAGTTTTGCTACAGCATAAATGCTGCTTCTTTCAGTAATCAAACCAAAACTCCTTGAGCCTCCTGTCAGGGCAACTGATCTAGCAAACATTATGACTATTGCCCCACAGTCTTAGGACAGAATAATTGTTGCACTCCATAAGGAGAAAAAGAACAAAGTACTTGGACTTTTGCCTGTGTAGTTAGAAACTGCTACAGGGAAGGAAATACAATGTAGTTAAGTGTGCATGCACTGTTGATGAAACAAATCATTATGGAAACTTTCACTGTAGCCAGTTTTAGGAGAAGTAATAAATGAACTGTTAGTGTTCATCAGACACGGTGCTGTTAGTCATCTGGCAGACAGGAGAAACAGCACTTAAATTCAGAGGAAGATAGGGGGATGAGTCTCAAACTGACGACAACAGTTTTGGAGATGGTTGTGGGAACAAGTTAAGCTGTCTAGAAGCTGAAAAGTTTCTACACTGTGGCTGAAAAGCATTCAAAAGAGGCCTCTAAATAAACTTTCTCATTACCTATCAAAACAAAGCAAAATTGCTGGACCTTAAATAAAAGTGCTCAATGCTGGCCTAGAGGCATGGTCAGGCTGGTGATTAGTTGCCCTGGATATTTGGTGACCTATCCAAAAACAAGACATGTTGCTATTAGGTCAAAAACTTCCACAGCAATCTACCTGTGCTATTCAGCATTTCAAGCTGCACTAGGATCGGCTGGACTGGGAGGAATTTGGAATTTATGCGTCTGACAAAGCAATATTTTGCTGTGCAGACACGGAGTTATGAGAACTCAGGAATGTCCCCAGAGTCTTGTTCTGCTGAGCTGTCTGTGAGCACGTCAGCACCCTATCAAACAGCCGAGAAATTTATTCCAGCACTCACGATGATGCCAAATCTGCTTTGGGGGCTGTTGCTATTGGCCGGGGTGCGCAGTGGGCTTTGTGTGTGTGGGAACACAGAGTTCACCCGGGCATCCGACACGCTGAAAAAGACATCAAAGAGCCACTAAGAAAACAAACTGGGGCACTGCCGAGCCTCGGCCGGCAGACATCCCCCTCCTGTCGAGCGGGTCGGCTCCCGCAAATGCTTTTTTATTTTTTTTGGTCGCAAG